ACACTCTGAATTTAAACTCCCTTTTGAAAACTTGTAAGCCAGTCACTTTGTGCTTTTATTGCCCCCTCATCTTAGGTAGCTGTGTGGTTTTTGCAATGAATTCTCAAACCCTCTAGGAAATGAGACAGTGCTTTAGGAGAGATAGTGACCTTCCCCTCATAGGAATCAGCCTTGGAGCTACTGCCACTGATCTCCCTTACAACCTTAGATGAGGCCAGACGCCTCCGCCATGTTATTTGGATAACAATTTGTTGTTGTTAGGTGCCAACTCATGGCGACTTTATACATAACAGAATGAAACACTGCGCGGTCCTGCACCATCCTCAGAATTGTTATACTTAAGTCCATTGCTGCTGCCAGTATGCAAAAAAAGAGGTGTTTAATAGAATTGTCAGAATGGAACCCAATCCTAAGTTGGGGGCAGCCTGTAAACACACAGTGAGAGTCTAAGTTACCCTGGAGAACAGCCTCCAAGGTGATTTTAGAAGTTAAAAAAAACATGAAAATCATAAACAAAAGACCAGGCTTACTGGTCAGAGAGAAACTGGAGAGATCCCTGAGACCAGGGCCCTCAGCCACTCTTCAGGTCCAGAGAAGAACTCGGTCCCATGGCTCAGTTTTCATCCCAACAATAGACAAGTGTCCAAAGGGAGCAATAACACCTGGGAGGTGGTACACACACCTAAAAACAGTCAACTAATTGAGAGCAAAAGGCCACATTTCCCCCAGGACACAGTTCAGAAGGGTCAGGAAAGAAGGACGAATGGCAACAGGAAACCCAGGGAGGAAGCGGGATGAGAGATATTTCACTGTGAGGATTGCAGTCAATGAGATGAAACAAAATGTGTTTGAATTGTTGAATGGAAAATTGATTTGCTCTCTCTAAACCTTCACCCAATTCACAATTAAAAAAGGAAAAAAACTTGGCATTTCCCACTGGGGCAGGAAGGTGCAGTAGTCAGAAGACTGGTAAAGAATCCAAAGTTCTCTCTTTGGAGAGAGGCCCGGAAGTAGGAACGCCCGTCCGATGAGAAACAGGAAGGAGACCTGGCAGAGACACTGATTCAGACAGCGAACAAGGAAAGGGAAAGTTGGAAATTCTAGGGGGTGCAAAGTGATGTAAACACACCATGAAATTCGGGTGAAATAAAGATAATAGAAATAGGAATTCGATTTCAGAAAAGAAAAATAATGTTTTCATTTCCTCTAAATTCTTAAAAGTAAAACATATTCTCATATGGCAAGAGCATTCGTTTAGGGACCTCAGACAGCCACACAGCTGGGAGGCCTTCTAGCGTGTCTGTAATGATTTCCTCAACAGCCCACCTGTGGCTTCCCACTCACGCACCTGAAGAAGTTCGACAGTGGATTTCACCTCCTACTGTCCACAGCTCTCCACGATCCAACCTGACAAGTGTATCTTGCTCACATGCTATATACCCTGTTCAGTGGAAACAACAAAAGTTTATGCACAGTAAGAAGAAATGTCACATAAATGTGACATTTAGGGTCTACAGACTTTTCTGCAAAGTCAAGATTTTTATCTCAGAAGAGGGTATCTTATATTCTTTTACCAGGGGGAAAGGAAAGACTCTGAGGCTCTGACACTTAAAAACAGGGCTTCATACCAGTTGCTTCTGGTTCGAACCCTCCATGTATACTGAATGAGAATCTATAGTTGCGCGAGATCCCCATGTGGTTCTAATGTATAATCGTCCTTGACAGCCCTGCTCTATACTACTTCATAAAACCGGTCCCTAACCAGTAACATAAGCATTGCCTGAAGATGTTAGGGTTCAAAGCCCTGCTTAAGAAAAAGGCAGGGACTTTCCAAGTTAAACAGCTGAGAAAGGACAGGCTACTGACTGGACACCCTCTGAGGGCCACCATGCAGCTGTCCTCACCCACGGACACCAGGTGGCTGTAGTTCTCCAGCATCACGTCCCGGTACAGGGCCTTCTGAGCAGGGGCCAGGAGCTGCCACTCCTCCCCGGTGAACTCCACAGCCACGTCCTCCAATGTCAGCGAATCCTGTTACAACAGGGTCCAGTTTAATGAAGTAATGTCCTTTTGATGATATGGATGGAATGTAAAGGAAATTATTCTTTTTTACCATATAGGAAATTGAGTTTAAAAAAGAATATATATATTTTTTTTACCCATTGTAACAGTAGCAAAATCCTACACAAATATTCTGTCATTTTGCAGCCATCCAATTATTTTAAAAAGTTCAGAATTCAAAGGCATTTCTGCAATATGTACCCATCATACCTTCTTGCAAAGATAGACTATCTTGCTAAAGTAGAACATATATAGGTTCTACACACAAAGGGGTTTTTAAAAGTTCGTGGAAAAACTTCATTATCTTTCAATTCCATTTTTCCATGCATTTTTTGAAGCCCCCTTATATATATATATGTGTGTGTGTGTGTGTGTGTGTGTGTGTGTGTGTGTATGCTGTTGCCGTTACGTGCTGCCGAGTTGATTTCAACTCCTAGCAACCCGATGTACAACAGAACAAAACACCACCAGGTCATGCTCCGGCCTCACAACTGTTGCTACACTTGAACACATTGCTGCTGCCACTGTGCCAATCCATCTCATTGGGGGGGTCTCCCTAGTTTTTGCTGTCCCTCCACTTTACCAAGCACGACCATTCTCCAGGGGCTGGTCCCTCCTGATAATATATCAGCAATATGAGCGATGGAGTCTGGCCATCTTGACTTCTAAGGAGCATTCAGGTTGTACTTCTTCAAACACAGATTTGTTTATTTCTCTGACAGTCCAGCGTACCTTTAGTATTCTCCTCCAACACCATAACTCAAGTGCATCAATTCTTCTGCGGTCTTCCTTACTCACTGTCCAACTTTCACATGCATATGAGGTTATTGAAAATACCATGGCTTGGGTCAGGTGCACTTTAGTCCTTAAACTGACATCTTTGCTTTTGAACACACATTTGCCTAATGCAATAGATCATTTGATTTCTTGACTGCTGCTTCCATGAGTGTTGATGATGGATCCTAGCAAAATGAAGTCTTTGACAACTTCAATCTCTTCCCCGATTATATAGATGCTATTTATTGTTCCAGTGGTAAGGATTTTTGTTTTCTTTACATATGTATATATATGTGTGTGTATGTCCATATGTATGTATGTTGTTGTTGTCAGGTGCCATCGAGTCGGAACCGACTCATAGCGACCCCATGCACAGCAGAACGAAACAATGTCCGATCCTGGGCCAACCTCACTACTGCCGCCATACTTGACGCCATCAATGATGTCACCTGGCTGATCCATCTCGTTGGGGGTCTTCCTCTTTTTCTCTGACCCTCCACCTTACCCAGCATGACATCCTTCTCCAGCGACTGTTCTCTCCGGACAATGTGTCCAAAGTATGTATATGTGCATGTATTACATATACACACATATATACACACATTAATATTTTTTCCAATACTAAATATGCTAGCTATAAGTAAACAAATAGTACAAATTCCTTATTTTCACCATGTGCCTTCAGAGCCAATATCAGAATCAACAATGATTAGTGTTGAATTCTGGTGTGGCGCTGTGGGCTAACGCGTCAGACAGCAAAGTTGTTTGAAGTGCAAATCCGGTGGTTCAAGCTCACCAGCTGCTCCTTGGAAACCCTATACAGGGTCACTATGGGTCGGAATCTATTGAACGGAACTTAACAACAACAACAGTCCTACATTGCCCTGATTTAGACATTAGAATATTAAAGGTTTGCTTTTCTTCAGAACCTGCTATTCATGATTTATCCTTTTCTGCTTTATAACGTTGATTTCTAAGGCACTTTAGAAACCCATCATTCTGTTGTACAGAAGGTCACCGAGAACCGGAGCCAAGTTGACAACAACTAACAACTACAACTACAAACCTACTGAGAACAGAACAAACCAAAATTCACCTGGGCTTGGGTCATTTTCTTCTGAATTTGGGAAATGGCTGCTTGGTGGTAGGTTCTGTCTTTGTCTCTTCAGGGTTGGTGACGGATCTCTGTTCAAAGCTTTGAGTCTCTTGGCAAGGGAGAAATGAAGATACCCAGATACTGGAATCTCCTCCTCCTTTCTTCACTTGGCTCCTCTTTCTCCTAGCGAAACAAGACCTGTAGGTTGAAGAGAACATGATCTCTGAGTGCACATTCCTTCTGGGTCCAGATGTTCCCAGCATTGCTACACAAACAACTTCAATCCATGCTCCAAAAATCGGAATGACCCATAAGTCAGTGCTCCACATTCACGATGGGTTCTTTTTACTTTCCTCACTATTCATAAGCATACAGTGGGCATTAAATTCTAAAAAATATCTCAACATTCTACGTTTTAAGAAAATCAATGCTGCTACAGCATTACTGCAATTCCATACCTTGATATTTTTTATTACTTAAAAAAACAGAGGCATAGAGGAAGGGAGGAAAGAGGGGGTTTAAGAAAATATGTTATAAATACAAATTTTACAAAACACAAAAACGTTGTTGAGTGTCGTCGAGTCGATTCTGACTCAGCGACCCTGTGTAGGGTTTCCGAGGGGCAGCTGGTGGGTTTGAACTGCCGACCTTAGGGTTGCCAGTCCAGTGCTGATCCTACAGCGCCACACCAGTCTTGTTTATTCATATAAACAAAGCTCCTGGGATCAGAAATGTGTTTTAGGTAATGTGCTTCTTCTAATCTTAAAAACCACACCGACAGCAGGATTCTACTTTTGTTTTTTACTAATGAGGAAAAAGACACAGGATCTAGGAGTCAAAAACCTGGCTAGAAGTATCTGTCAATCACATCGGCTCATCAAACGGACAAAGGAGGAAAAACTATCAGTGAGACTCTAGCCAATTATCTGCAGGAGTTAAATATTCTGTAACTGAAGGAATGCATTCATTCAAAGTTCATTCTGAATGCCTTGCAATAGAAGGCAGTGTTTAGGAGACTTTAAAAGTCACCAAAGCCAACAACCAAAAAGATGAAAGATGGATGGACAAAAGGCTGGCTGGCTAGTTAGACAACTGGTAGAACTAGTTAACCTGCTGTTGTTAAGTATCATCAAGTTAGTTTGGAGTCAGAGAGACCTGGTGGGTTTCAACTGCTGACCTTGTGGTTCCCAGTTCAGTGCGGATCCTACAGCGTCACACCAGGAGTCCAGAACTAGTGTGGTGATAGTGGTTATGGGTCAGAGACGACAACCCTGTATCGGGTTTCTGAGGCTGTAAATCTTTACAGGAGCAGAAAGCCTCATGTTTCTCCTGCAGAACAGCTGGGAGTTTTGAACTGCTGACCTTGTAACCACTACGCTACCAGAGCTTCTTAGAACTTTTCGTGTTTTTATTGTTGTTGTTGTTTTTAAGTGCTGTCAAGTCGGTTCCGACTCATAGCAACCCTGTCTGTACAGGGTTTCCAAGGAACAGCAGGTGAGTTTAAACCACCCGACCTTGTAGTCCAGTGCTTTATCCTACTGCACCACACCAGGACTCTGCCTTAGACCTAGTATTACTGTTGTTGTTAAGTGCCATTGAGTCGGTTCCGACCCATAGCGACGCTTTATAGGGTTTCCATGGAGAAGCTAGTGCGCTTGACCCACCGACCTTGTGGGCAAACCGACTTTACAGTCCAGCACATTAACCTACAGCGCCACACCAGGACTCCTAGACCTAGTATAGTACAATGTTAATGGCAAAATCTAGATAGTGGGCGAATGGGTGGTAACTTCAACATTCTTTTAATACTTTTGTATATTTGAAATTTTTCCATAATGAAATATGCGGTGTAGAAAAAGATAGTGCAAAAAAAGTTTAGTGAGGTGACCAAATATAAAGTAAATATTTCATGTTAATGGAACTGACTTGATGGCCCAACAACTCTTTTTTGCTATAGAAAATTATATCAGGAAAAAGAAGTTTAAAAAGGTAACACACACATTTATAATTGCATCTAAAGTAAGACACCCAGACTGGAGAATAGCAGGATAACAAACTCATTGAAAAAACACATCATCAAAGATTCCTAAACTGAGATCTAAATATTCTAAATATTTTACCACTATCCAAATATAGAAGAGTCCTGGTGTGGTGCTGTGGGTTAATGTGCCAGACGGCAAAGCTGTTTGAACCTCAAGGTTGGCGGTTCAAGCTCACCAACTGCTCCTCGGAAACCCTATACAGGGTCTCTATGGGTCGGAACCGACTTTACAGCACTCAACAACAACATCCAAATATATGGACTCCTGGTGTGGTGCTGTGGGTTAATGCGCTGGACTGCAAGATCGATTTGAACAGTAAGGTCCACGCTTCAAGCTCACCAGCTGCTCCTCGGAAACCCTATACAGGGTCTCTATGGGTCGGAACCGACTTTACAGCACTCAACAACATCCAAATATATGGACTCCTGGTGTGGTGCTGTGGGTTAATGCGCTGGACTGCAAGATCGATTTGAACAGTAAGGTCCACGCTTCAAGCTCACCAGCTGCTCCTCGGAAACCCTATACAGGGTCTCTATGGGTGGGAACCCACACGATGGCACTTAACAACAAAAACAATAATCCAAATATATGAACCCACCAGCCACTCTCAGAAACCGTACACAGACAGGGTCACTATGAATCAGAACCTATTGGACGGCACACAACGAGAACATCCAAATATACATAGAATTAATGTACAAAGACACGTGAAAATAATTAGTCCAGAGAACTAAAGGACCAGGACAACCTCCTCTATGACCCTGCGACCAGAAAAAACGAGATGCTGTCCGGCGACCATTCATTACCGTTCTGAACTGGATCACAACGGAAGGCCCTGATAGAGTGGGGAAGAAGAAAAAAAAAAGAATGCACACACACAAACAAATACGTAACATGTTTAATGAGAGTTCACGCATAATACCACCGGTTCCCACATTAAAAAAGCTTTCCGTACTAAGAATTTGCAATTTCAAAATGTTTATTACAAGAAATAAAGTAGAAAAAGAGGAAATCATAGCACCATTTACGCAGTTTCTCTGAAACACAGACACATAAAAGTCTAGCATTTATACATATAACATTTTGACACTGGAAAGGAGCTCTGGTAGCGTATGGTTACGAATCGGGCTGCGAACCTTAAGGTCAGCGGTTCGAAACTACCAGCCGTTCCGTGGGAGAAAGATGAGGCTTTCTACTCCCGTAAAGATTTACACCCTCGAAAACTCTGTACAGGGTCGCTATGGGTCGGAACCGACTGGACGGCACTTAACAACAACAACAGTTTTGGAAACGAGTCCTAGTGTGGCGCTGTGGGTTAATGTGTCAGATTGCAAAGTTGTTTAAACTGCAAACTCGGTGGCTTAAGCTCACCAGCTGCTCCTTGGAAACCCTATACAGGATTGCTATGAGTCAGAATCGACTCAATGGCACTTAACAACAAGTTTTGAAAAAAATTAATTTAGGGTGTTGTGCCAACACTCACAGAGACCCTGTATAGGGTTTCCGAGGCTGTAAAGCTAAAAGCCTCTGTGGTGGCTAAAAGCCTCATCTTTCCCCTGCTGAGAGGTTGGTGGGCTTGAACCGCCGACCTATTTTGGGTTGTCAGTTCTGACGCACAGTGACCCTGTATAGGGTTTCCAAGGAGCGGCTGGTGGGTTTGAACCGCCAACCCTGTTATTAGCACTCCAGTGCTTATCCTATAGTGCCACCGATGTTATTTTATGTACGTCAGAAAAAAAAATCTAGGTTAAAGACTATGTATGAAAAATATGTTGTAAATATGCAGCAAGAGTAAGAGCTGCTTCTGGAGAAGGAAACACGTTAGTTGCTGATTGTGATGTCAGGGGCCCTCGAGTTGGCTTCAACTAGCTAACAACAGAATGAAACACAGGTAGTTTCTACGTCCTCCTCACAATCCTGCCTGTGTTTGAGCCCGCAGCTGCACGCATCTTATGAAAAAACGTTCAGGAAGTTTCAAGAATAAGAAATCATGTAAGAAAATTAAAGCTAGTCGCGACATGCGGTCTCGATCCTGAAACGTTAATATCCATCAGGTCAGTTTCAACTGCCAAACCACGTGGTGCACCTTACAAATCCATCCCTCTATGTAGACCTTCACTACCCTAATTAATTCCAAAATATGGACCAGAAAGCCTTGCACGCGGATGCGGGAAGCTCTCCTGCACCATCTAAAGAGATCTGCTCTCAATCACTGAGCCTTGCGGGCAGAGGAAAACACAAAGACTCCAAGATCTGACTACGAGACCGTCCGAGTGGATCTACGGGGATCTCTAACCACAGGGAGTTTCTCAGGACGGAAGCCACAGACGCCCCAATCGCACGTCTCCCACAACCAATTCCTTACTATGAAGCGTTCAAGAGTGCGCATTGACGTCAAAATCCCGACGGCGGACCACGGCGAATGCAGACGTTCACAGATACCCTCACCCTTCTCCACGCATAGACCCCAGCCACTGAACGTGTTTTCTTCGCGTACCGAGGGGATGAGCAGACGACCGAAATGACTTTCTTCAAATTCGTTCATTTCATGCCACACCGCCAGCCAACCAGCCTACGGTGGTCAACGAGGGTCTGAAGTGTTTTAAGACGTACTTAGAAAACTCTGTTTCTTTAGAGGTAATGTGTCTGGAGTCATTAAAGCTTTCGGTTGCTAACGGAAAGGTCAGCGGTTCGAAAACACCAGATGTGGCAGTAAAGATGAAGTTCTACTCTGTCCAATGAGGTCGCTCTCAGTCGACTTCAACTCCGTGGCAGCGGGTGGAATATGTCAGCGCTCATTTTGCCACGGTACCCTGGGAGCAGCCATCTTTCTACACATTCCGTACAAGAGGCAAACGGGCTGTTTCTATGCCAATAGAAATGGACAAGAGGCCAAGGAGTCGCTGACACTGTCCCATTATTTAGCGCCTCAACTTTGGCTGAAAGTGGGTAGTCATTCAGGCACTGGAGCTT